CACACACACACACACACACACACACACACACACACACACACACACACACACACACACACACACACACACACAGCCCAGTTTAGTGCTGGTCCACAATTTACAGCTCCGTTATTACAACGACAAACAACGCTTATCGTTCCATCTTTCCGTTAGTGTTGGCACAGCGGAGTATTGCCTCGTTGACCGCCATGGTTCCAGACCTTCGAACGCATCACCCTCGACTTTTTGACGTTTATACGACAATGACAATGTTTCCCACAGTTTCGTTAGCAGGTACGACACACGACTGAAATTTTTCTTTCACTAACCTGAGATAATGGATAACTTTCGCCTCTCCTTGTCTTTCTTTTACGAGAGAGAGAGAGAGAGAGAGAGAGAGAGAGAGAGAGAGAGAGAGAGAGAGAGAGAGAGAGAGAGAGAGAGAGAGAGAGAAGAGAGAGAGAGAGAGGAGAGAGAAATTTCTTCTTAACACCTATGTAAAAAAATATATGAAAAATATTGAAACTCGTCACCCAGATGACGATATTATTATTATTATTATCATCATCATCATCATCATCATCATATTATTATTATTTTATTATTATTAATAGTATCGTTGTTGTTTTTTATATTGTTATTATTTTTTTTTATTATTATATTACAAAATGCTCCCCAACTACTAGGGGCCTTTTTTCCCCTGAGGGGTCAAAAAAACCTTTTTTAAAAACCGGGAGAGGGGAAAACCCCCCGGCCCCCATGATGTTCGGGGGGAAGTAGAGACCACTCAGATTTGATCCGGGGAAAGGAGAAAGCGCTTCGAATTCCCCCATCACGAGCCCCTCAACCCGCATAAAGGGCCCGCCTCACACCAGAAAAAACACCCAAATTTGGGTGACAAAATCCCAAATTTAAAAGATAAAATAGCCAAAAATAGCAAAAAAAAACAGCCAAAAAAATTTGGGGAAAAATGCTAAAAATATATAAAAAAAAAATCTAAAACTGAAAAAATTTGCAAAAAAAAAATATAGCCAAAATCGGTGGTAAAAAAACCAAAACCGTAGTAAAATTGCCAAAATTGGTTTAAAAAAAGCCAAACAAGGGAAAAAAAAGCCAAAACTGAGGATAAAAAGCCAAAACTGAGGATAAAATAGCCAAAATAGGTAAATAGCCAAAAAATGAGGATAAAATCCAAAACTGAGGATAAAATAGCCAAAAAATGAGGGGGTAAAATAGCAAAACTGAGGATAAAAAAAGCCAAAACCGGCTATAAATGCCAAAACGTGGCAACATAGGGAAGTGTGGGCGGGTCAGTGGGGCGGAAAGCAACCCATGTTTCCTTTAATTAGACTTGTATACAAAATCTATTACTGGGGCGGAGAGCGGCCCCCCCAAACCCCCCCCCCTGTGGGCGGGCCCGACACCCCTGATTTATCGTCCTTTTATTGAGTGAGGGGCGAAACCCAAAACCCTGACATTTTGCAACCCCTTTAGCCCTGTGAAGTTTTTTTGTAGGGTTTTGGAGCCCTGACCCGGTGTTAAGGGTGTGGAGCCCTGATTTAATTTTTTGTGGGTGTGGAGCCCCGGGCTGAGTGTTATAGGGGGTGGGCCCTGGGTGAATTGTTGTAGGGGGTGGGGCCCCGATGAAATACTTTAGGGGGTGAAACAGTGGGTGTTATAAAGGGGAAAAGGGGGCCCGCTGGTGTTAAAAGGGTGTGGGCCCTGATGAAAATTTTTCTAGGGTGTGGAGCCCTGAATGAGGGGTTTTAGGGGGTGGGAGCCCCGGGTGGGAAATTTTGTGGGTGTGGGGCCCTGACTGAGTGTTATAGGGTGTGGAGCCCTGACTGAAATGTTATTTGGGGGTGGGAGCCCCGATGAATTGTTTTAGGGTGTGGGGCCCTGACTTGGTTATGGGGTGTGGGGGGGCCCCGACTGAGTGTTTTTAGGGTTGGAGCCCGGACGAGTTTATAGGGGGTGGGCCCTGAATGAAATGGGTTTGGGGGGGGAGCCCTTATGAAGTGTTTTAGGGGGGAGCCCGGGTTTTAGTGTTTTAGGGGGTGGACCCTTTTGAAGTGTTGTAGGGTGTGAAGCCCCGAGGGGTTTAGGGGGGTGGAAACCCTGATGAAATGTTGTAGGGGGTGAACCCCGACTGAGTGTTATAGGGTTTTGGAGCCCTGAATGGAAAAGGGTTTTAGGGGGTAGAGCCCTGATGAAGTGGGGTTTTAGGGGGTGGAAACCCCTGACCCGAGTGTTATAGGGTGTGGGCCCCCGACGGAAAGGTTTTTAGGGTGTGGGGGCCGTGATGAAGTGTTGTAGGGGTTTAGCCCTGAAATGAGTGTTTAGGGTGTGGAGCCCTGGGTGAGTGTTTAGGGGTGGAGCCCCGACGGGAATTTTTATAGGGTGTGGAGGGGCCCCGACTGGTGTTATAGGGGTTTTGGGGCCTGATGGGGTGTTATAGGGGGTTGGGGGCCCTGATGAATTGTTGTCGGGGGTGGAGCCCTGACTGAGGTTAAAGGGTGTGGGGGGCCCGAAGAAGTTTGTTTGGGTGTGGAGGCCCCGACTGATGGTTTTAGGTGTGGGGGCCCTTATGAAGTGTTGTAGGGTGGTTTTAGCCCCTGACTGAGTGTTATAGGGTGTGGAGCCCCCATGAAAATGTTGTAGGGGTGGGGAGCCCTGTTGGAAAGTTTTGTAGGGTGTAAGGGCCCCGACTTTAGTGTTATAGGGTGTGGGCCCTGATGAAGGGTTTAGGGGGTGGGAAACCCCCGAAGAAGTGGTTTTAGGGGTGGGGAGGGGCCCGACTGAGTGGGTTTTAGGGTGTGGGCCCTTATGAAGTGTTGTAGGTGTTTAAACCCCGACTGAGGGGTTATAGGGTTGGGGCCCCGATGAAGTGTTTTAGGGTGTGGGGGCCCGATAAGTGTTGTAGGGTGGGGGAACCCCGGTGAAATGTTACAGGGTGTGGTCCCCGGTGAAATGTTTACAGGGTGTGGAAACCCGGGGAAATGCTTTAAAAGGGGGTGGATCCCTGGTGAAATGTTTCAGGGTGGGACCCCGGTGAAAATGTTTTTAAAAGGGTGTGGAGCCCTGAGGTGTTTTTCAGGGTGTTTGGGGCCCCGGTGAAGGGGTTACAAAAGGGGTGAATCCCGGTGAAAATGTTTAAAAAAATGTGGGGCCCCGCTGAATTGGTTTTAAAAGGGGGTGGAGCCCTGCTGAAGTGGTTTCAGGGTGTGGATCCCCGGTGAAGTTTAAAGGGGGTGGGGGGCCCCGGTGAAGTTTTTTAAAGGGTGTGGAAACCCCCGGTGAAAATATTACAAGGTGTGGATCCCTGGTGAAATGTTTTCAAGGTGGGGATCCCTGGGGAAGTGTTAAAAGGGGGTGGAGCCCCGCCTTTAAGTGGTTTAAAAGGGGGTGGGGGCCCCCAAAGAAGTGTTACAAGGTTGGATCCCGGTTTAATGGTTTCAAAAGGGGTGGATCCCTGGTGGAAAATGTTAAAGGGGTTTGTAGCCCGGGGAAGTGTTTTCAAGGGGGGGAGGGGACCCTGGGGGAAGTGTTTCAAGGTGAGGATCCCTGGTGAAAATGTTAAAGGGGGTGGGGCCCAGCTGAAGTGTTAAAGGGGGTTTTGGGGGAAACCCCGGTGGGAAATGGGTTTCAAGGTGTGGATCCCTGGGGGGAAGTGTTACAAAAGGTTTTGGATTTCCCCGTGAAAGGGTTTCAAGGTGTTAAAATCCCTGGGGAATGTTACAGGGTGTGGGGAAACCCTGGTGAAGTGTTTTAAAAGGGGGTTTGGGCCTGGGGAAGTGGTTTTCAGGGGGGTGGAAACCCTGGTGAAGTGTTTCAAGGGTGGATCCCCGGGAAGTGTTACAGGATTTTGGATCCCTGGTGAAGTGTTTTCAAGGTGTGGATTTCCCCGGTGAAGTGTTACAAGGTGTGGATCCCTGGTGAAGTGTTACAAGGTGTGGATCCCTGGTGAAGTGTTACAAGGTGTGGATCCCTGGTGAAGTGTTACAAGGTGTGGATCCCTGGTGAAGTGTTAAAAGGTGTGGGTCCCTGGTGAAGTTTTTACAGATGTGGGGCCTGGTTTAAGTGTTAAAAGAGTGTGGGCCCTGGGGAAGTTTACAGAGTGTGGATCCCCGGTGAAGGGGTTTTTTAGAGTGTGGAGCCCTGGGTTTTAAGGGGGTTTTCAAAAGGGGTGGAGCCCTGGTGAAGTGTTCAGAGTGTGGAGCCCCCGGGGAAATGTTACAGGTGTGGAGCCCCGGGTGAAGTGTTACAGAGGGGTGGAGCCCTGGTGGGAAATGGGTTTCAGATTTTTGGAGCCCTGATATGGGAAAAATTAAAAATTGTTTTTATAAAAAAAATATTGTTTTTATTATTATTATTAAATTATTATTTTATTATTATTATTATTTTTATTAAATTTTTAAACACTGATGATAGCTGTAAACCTCAGGGTTTTATCCCAGAAAGGGGAGGGCACTTCAGGGCTTGGATCAAAAGCTCTTTTTGCATTAAGGGCCACTCCCCCCTGGAAGGGGGGTTTAAATTTAAAAAAATTTAAAAATAATAATAATTTTATTACTGTTATTTTTTATTAAATTTTTTATTAAAATTTTCAATATTAATATAATGAAATGGGGATAATATGATGTAATAATAAAAAATAATAATAAAATAAAATAATAATAATAAAAAATTAACGCACTTAACCCTTTTATTTTTACAAAGAAGCTACGTGCTAGCAATGTTGGGTTTTTAAGCCCCCCCACTTTAAAAATGCGTTACTGCAATTGGTTAACCTAAAACTACCTATAACACAAAAACCCCTAACACATTTAAATGTGCACCCCGACCCCCTCGGTGTATATACACTGAGATACAAGTACCTTTCAGTGTGTATACACTGAGATACAAGCACCTTTCAGTGTATATACACTGGGCACTTGGCACTACTGCAGTATTCCTTCATTCTTGTGTTCTCTTTCACATTTCCTTCACGTCAAACTGACCATATTTATTATCTTCCACAGAAAACGGACTCCATTTATACAGTAAGTAAAGCATTTTTTATTAGTAACATTATATATATATATTATATATATATATATATATATATATATATATATATATATATATATATATATATATATATATTATAATATATATATATATATATACACTGAGAGAGAGAATGGATGACTGAGTAGTTGTACCTCCAACCACAACCACCAACACCCCCACACAACCACCAACACCCCCACACAATCATCAACACCCCACACAACCACCAACACCCCCCACACAACCACCAACACCCCACACATCATCAACACCCCCCACCAATCATCAACACCCAAACACAAACCACCAACACCCCCACACAACCACCAACATCCCCACACAACCACCAACACCCCCCACAAAACCACCAACACTCCCACACAACCACCAACACCCCCACACAACACCAACATCCCCACACAACCACCAACACCCCACACACAACCACCAACACCCCACACAACCACCAACATCCCCACACAACCACCAACACCCCCACACAACCACTAACATCCCCACACAACCACCAACACCCCCACACAACCACCAACACCCCACACAACCACCAACATCCCCACACAACCACCAACACCCACACAACCACCAACACCCCACACAACCACCAACACTCCCCACAACCACCAACACCCCCACACAACCACCAAAACTCCCCAACAACCACCAACACACCCCCCACAACCACCAACACCCCCACACAACCACCAAACCCCCACACAACCAAACCAACACCCCCACACAACCACCAACACCCCCACACAACCCCAACACCCCCAAAACAACCACCAACACCCCCACACAACCACAACATCCCACACAACCACCAACACCCCCACACAACCACCAACACCCCACACAACCACCAACACACCCACAAACCCCCAAACCCCCCCAAACCACCAAAACCCCAACAACCACCAAACCCCCCCACAAAACCCCCAAAACCCCCAACAACCCCCAAAACCCCACAAAAACCCCAACACCCCCCCAACAACCCCAACACCCACCCAACAACCACCAACACCCCCACCAAACCCCCAACACCCCCCCAACCCCCACACCCCCACAAACCACCAACCCCCACCAACCCCCAAAAACCCCACACAAACCCCCAACACCCCCCCCCAACCCCCAACCCCCCCAACCACCCCCACCCCACACAAACCCCCAAACCCCACACAACCACCAACAAACCCCCCCCAAACCCCCAAAAACCCCCAAACCCCCAACCCCCCACACAACCACCAAACCCCCCCACAACACCCAAAAACCCCCCCAACCACCAAACCCCCAAAACAAACCACCAAACACCCCACACAACCCCCAAACCCCCACACAACCCCAACACCCCCCACACAACCCCCAACACCCCCCCACAACCCCCAAAACCCCCCCCCAACCCCCAACCCCCCCACACAACCCCAACACCCCCACACAACCACCAACACCCCCACAAACCACCACACCCCCACACACCACCAACACCCCCACACAACCACCAACCCCCCACACAACCCACCAACACCCCCACACAACCACCAAAACCCCCACACAACCACCAACACCCCACACAACCACCAACACCCCACACAACCACCAACACCCCACACAACCACCAACACCCCCACACAACCACCAACACCCCCACACAACCACCAACACCCCCATACAACCACCAACACCCCCCCACACAACCACCAACACCCCCACACAACCACCAACACCCCCACACAACCACCAACACCCCCACACAACCACCAACACCCCCACACAACCACCAAGATCCCACACAACCACCAACACCCCACACAACCACCAACACCCCCACACAACCACCAACAACCCCCACACAACCACCAACACCCCCACACAACCACCAACACCCCACACAACCACCAACACCACCACACAACCACCAACACCCCCACACAACCACCAACACCACCCACACCACCACCAACACCCCCACACAACCACCAACACCCCCACACAACCACCAACACCCCACACACAACCACCAACACCCCCACACAACCACCAAGATCCCCACACAACCACCCCCACCCCCACACAACCACCAACACCCCCACACAACCACCAACATCCCCACACAACCACCAACACCCCCACACAACCACCAACACCCCCACACAACCACCAACACCCCCACACAACCACCAACACCCCCACACAACCACTAACATCCCCACACAACCACCAACACCCCCACACAACCACCAACACCCCCACACAACCACCAACACCCCCACACAACCACCAACACCACCACACAACCACCAACACCCCCACACAACCACCAACACCCCCACACAACCACCCCACGCCGAGCCACCAGACGGCGACACTGAACGACACAATATTTGTAATATCTATCAGTTTTATCCCTCTTTTACCCCAGTGACTATGGTCACATGCAGAGACAATGGAAGCAGCGGTGTTGTGCTCCGCGGGCTGTGTGTGTGTGTGTGAGGGTATCCTAATTCAGTTATCTTTGCCCTATGTGGTTATCTTGTTATCTTGCCTCCTATTTCTCCTATTAAAAGAAAACTGAGAGTGAAGACGCTGTAAAAATTTATGGAAGGCGATACATTTCATAGATTGGATGACAAGTATAACAAATGTAGGAGCCGTGTGGCTGTGTTTGTGTGTGTGTGTGTGTGTGTGTGTGTGTGTGTGTGTGTGTGTGTGTGTGTGTGTGTGTGTGTGTGTGTGTGTGTGTGTGTGTGTGTGTGTGTGTGTGTTGTACTTACCTAATTGTGGTTGCAGGGGTTGAGTCATAGCTCCTTGTCCCGCCTCTTCACTGCACGCTACTTGATCCACTCTCTCCCTGCTCCATGAACTTTATCATACCTCTTCTTAAAACTATATATGGATCCTGCCTCCAGATTGTTCCATTTTCTGACATCTCTGTGACTGAAGAAGTACTTCCTAACATCCCTGTGACTCATCTGAGTTTTCACGATACAGTTTTAGCCCCTTGTTGTCGTGTCACATCTCTGAAACATGCTGTCCCTATCCACCTTGTCAATTCTTCTCAGTATTTTTTATGTTATTATCATATCCCCCCCTATCCCTCCTGTCCTCCAGTGTTATCAGGCTGAGTTCCCTTAACTTCTCGTTGAACAATCCCCTCAGTTCCGGGACTCTTGTTGCAAACCTTTGCACTTTCTCTAATTTCTTGACATGTTTGATCAGGCGTTGGTTCCATACTGGTGCTGCATACTCCAATATGGGCCTGACGTACACGATGTAGTGTCGTGAATGACGCCTTACTTCGATGTCGAAACGCTATTCTCAGGTTTGCCAGCTGCCCGTATGCTAAAGCAGTTATTTTGTTGATGTGCGCCTCAAGAGATGTACTCACTGTGATGCTCACCCTAATATCCTTTTTCTCGAGTGAGTTTTGTAGTCTCTGACCTCTTAGGCTGTACTCTGTCTGCGGTCTTCCTTGTCCTGTGGTTAAACTCCAGGAGCTATTTGTTGAACCAGCCTTGCAGCCTGTCCAGATCCCCTTGTAGGCATACCTGATCCTCGTCCGCTTGTATTCTCCTCATTAGTTTAACATCGTCTGCAGACAGGGACCTCTGATTTTTTCCCTTCCGTCACGTTATTCATATATACAAGAAACTGCACCGGACCTAGGACCGACCCTTGTGGAACCCCACCTGACACATGCACCCACTCTGATACCTCGTCTCGTACCGACACCCATTGTTTCCTTCCTGTCAGTTATTTCCTGATCCATTGCAGTACTTTCTCTCGTATTCCTGACAGCTCCTTTAGCTTTTCAACGAGTGTTTTCTGTGGTATTGTGTAGAAAGCCTACTTACAGTTCAAGAAGATGCAATCTACCCAGTCCTCTCTCTCTTGTCTTACTTCTGTTACTTTGTCACAGAAATCCAATAGGTTTGTAATGCAGGATTTCCCTTCCCTGAAGTCGTGCTGGTTTTCATGTATTAGTCAATTTCTTTGCAGGTGCTCCACTATTCTTTTCCTGATAATCTTCTTCATAACTTTATATATATGTCAGCGACACTAGTCTGTAATTTAGTGCAACCTGTCTGTCTCCTTAAAAATCGGGACTACATTTGATGTCTTCCACGCCCTCAGGCAGTTGCCCTGTTTCGATAGGTTTATTGAAGATTGTTGTTAGTGGCAGACATAGTGCATCTGCTCCCTCTCTCAGGACCCAAGTAGAGATATTACCTGGGTCCACCGCCTTCCAGGTATCTAATTCCCCTATCAGTTTCTTCACCTCCTTGGTTGCGTGCAGTGTGTCCAGCACTTGCTGGTACACCCTACCACCTCGGTTTGCTGGAAGCCTCTCTGTCCCCACTGTGAATACCTCCCTGAATCTTGAGCTGAGCTCTTCACATACTTCCTGGTCGTTACCTGTGAACCCCCCTCCTTCATCCTGATTACCTGGTCCTTGACTGTTGTTTTCCTCTTGATGTGGCTGTATAACAACACAAACATGCACATATGCATGTTTGTGTGGGCGTGTGCGTGTGCGTGCGTGTGTGTGTGTGTGTGTGTGTGTGTGTGTGTGTGTGTGTGTGCGTGTGTGTGTGTGTGTGTGTGTGTGTGTGTGTGTGTGTGTGTGTGTGTGTGTGTGTGTGTGTGTGTGTGTGTGTGTGTGTGTGTGTGTGTGTGTGTGTGTGTGTGTGTGTGTGTGTGTGTGTGTGTGTGTGTGGTAGCGTATAGCAACAGTTCCCCCTCTTCCTATTCGCCCTCCCCACCCCCGTCTCCTCTACTACCCCTCCCGATGCGCCTCACAATAAGTGATTTTCCGCGCGGTCGAACAGAACCCGCGCAAATCAAACAAATGAATAACGTTCCATTGTCAGCCATTTGCGCGCGCGGCGGCGGCGGCTCCGTAATAGATATCCTGGGCTAGATCAGGTGATGACTCTCAGCCAGCTACAAGAATGATGGGTTTAGCTCCAGCAGG